TATGATTCATCAATGACTATGGGAAGAGAATTACTAGGAGAATAAAGTCATCCAATCAATTTTTTTCAAGTCGTTTAATAAAACAACTACATTTGGATGAAATCAGTTGTTAAATTCCAAGGAAGTTTTCAGTGTTGTAAGCAATAAAAAAAAAAAATATTTTCAATAATACAAATGAGATATTCGATTTTACCAATACTCAATAACATTACTAAAAGACACTTCATATAGAGACTCGGTTCACATAACAAATTAAAAATTACTCCGTATGGTTCACATAAGTATAATCGTTAATTTTTTTACATAACATATATGTATAAACCACTAGCACCGTGGTGTACCACGGGGTAAAATCTAGTTATCTAGTGTTGATATATATAATATCATGACCTTTTAAAAACGTGAATATTTATAATATTGACGATGGTTTTCGCTTACTGTCATGATTTTAAAAAGCAAAAATTCTCTTTCTCTCTTAGTATTCACTCGCATTTACAACATTTCATCCAAACAACTTGTTTTGAATTTCTCTTTTGTTATAATATTGTCACACGTCCTATTATCCAGTTTAAATATTTAGAATATCTGAATCTTGTAAAAGTTTCAAAATTTATATTTATTGAACCTTTCAACAAACATTATTCAATTCTTTACTCTAGTATTTAAGCAATTTTAGCGTTCATGTACCATACAACTATGACGCTTAGAAATGAGTTTTATCTACTTGTTTTTCTCGTTCATTGTTCTACTTACAATTCCTCCTCCTGCACATTTGAATATTTAAAAGGATGGAATCCGAAAGCCAAAGATGATAACTTAGTCAAAGCACTGGAATCCTTTACTTACGCTGAACAAATTGAAAACACGCTTACATGTGGTAAATGTGAGAACAAAGTGTTGAAAACAAAGCAACATAAATCCGATACGTTTCCTTAGTTGTTAATGTTGATGGCCCTCTCACCCTCTCACAATTTTTAAAAACAAATTTATTTTTCTCTCCATGTCACCCGTTTTTCAAATTCCTTGGTGCTACAAAATCGTTTGATAGAATATTTTAAATGTCATATTATTTAGTTTTAATATTTATAATATCTGAATCTTTTGAAAATTTCAATATTTATAATACCGAGGATGGCACTAAAAGAAATTTGTTGTTTAACGTCACTTAATTAATGACACTTCAACAACCGACGTTAATATAAAAAGAGAAGAGAATTAACTTCTGTATCAAACCGACGTAATATTGTGAGACCCCGGTTGCGGAGAAGATTAAATGAATTGATTTGGCCAAATATGTCACCAAAGTGCACTTATCTTTTCTATCAAAGGTCTTGAGAGAACTCCAAAGTTAAGCTTGCTTATGCAAGAGTAATCAAAGGATGGGTGACCTTCGGGGAAGTGGTTGTCAGAATTGTGTGAGTGAGGCCAAAACACAGGGAAAGATCATGTGATGATTTGTAGGATCGGTAAACAAGTCTTTAAGCCTCCCGGACGTAGCAAACCGATCGTCGGATATTGATGGGCTCACGGGGCTAGTGAGAGGACGTGAGACCCATTAAAGAGGTGGGCCCATGGGCTAGTGATGAACATGGGGACCACTGGAGAGATGGCAATCAGGGCGTTATAATTGGTATCAAAGCCGAACCTAGACAAGTGTGGAGTGGTGGGCTCACACTGTGAGGGGTGACGATCATTGTGCGCAACGAGGACGTTGCGGTATGTTAGTGGGGGAGAATTGTGCGACCCCAGTTTGCGGAGAGGATTAAATGAATTGATTTGGCACTTATGTCAGAAAAGTGCACTTATGTTTTCGGTCAAAGGTCCTCAGAGAACTCCACAGTTAAACGTGCTTATGCTGGAGTAGTCAAAGGATGGGTGACCTTATGGAAAGTGATTGTCGGAACTGTGTGAATGAGGCCAAAACACAGGAAAATATCATGTGGTGATTTGTAGGATCAGTTCTGCAATTTGAGTTACTCCTTCCTCTTTGGAGGTTCCCTTCTCCATAAATTTATTCTAATTTACAGTGTATATGAAGGATTTGTGAAGGAATTTATGGTAGCAATGGTGCAGCTTGATATCGTCTCTCTCGTAAGTTTAGATCTGAAACACAAAATCTTCATTGATCATTTTTGTGTCTTCGTAAATTGATACTTCTCTTCTCCAATTTCGCAAGGCATAAGGTCTGAACGATCAAAGATGCTGAAGGTTTTGTTCTCTTTGTGATTAATTTAAGCGAGTATTCTAGAGTTCAAGTTATGAATATGACGGATTTGTGAAAATTTGTTTGATTAGGTTTTGCGGTGATAAATACTTTTGAGAACTCATTAGATTTTCTCTGTTTCTCTAAGTTCATCTCTATGAGATGGTGTGGTTATTGATATGAAAAAACTACCAAACCTCTACTTGTTTGCATTGTTGTATTTTCTTATGTAAACACTTATCTTTCTAAATATTCTTTTTTTATCAGCATGTCATGGGAACAAAATACAAGAGCTAATCGAGTTTGTAAAGACATCTCTTTCTAATTGCTTTGGCCTCTAAGGATTAACTGTAATATATTTTGGTTTTATTTATAATTAATTAACATGATGTAGTAAATATCATGTATGTTAAGTTAGAGATATGAAGAATTTATGAATGAACTAATTAACCCTTTCCTTGTTGTTTGCAGATGCTTTAGTCTCATTACCTCTCTCATCGCATATTCTGCATTGTCGTGAATTTTCTCGCTGACATTTGATCCTTCCGAGACAGCCATGATGTAATCTCTTCTTATTCTCTCTCTCCCTCTCTGTTTTCAGTTATTATATTTGATCTTAGTTTGTAACTTCTCCTCCGAGCAGCTCTTCGATGGAATATCCCCAGGTATGAATTCTCCTTTGAAAGGTCAAGAAACATCTAGAATCCAAGAGAAGACCATGGATTTACAAGAGATGAGCAAAACAAGCTTCACCTTTGAGAGTGATCGAGAGAGTGAAGATCAAGAACAAGACATCAAGGATTTGGAAGAGTTTCAAGAGACTGATCAAGCTATCCAACAGTAACTCCAAGAAGCCATCTACTTCAATAAACCAACAAACAAACGAGCACCTGACAAGACTCCTGAAGTAGATCAGTGAGTAGTACATGATGTGGTTCAGAGAACAGCTATTGGGCCTAGATCGCATCCAGGTACGTTCTATTCAGTATTTTCGATATTTGCAGGTCCATTAAGCCCCAGCAACGGCTAGAAGACGTGCTCATCACGAGGTTTCAAGTTTGCTTTAGTATTTGACTTATTTTCTTTCCAAAAACAATGGATTTGTGTTTGTGATTTTATTTGTTTTCTTTGTTGCACTTTTACATTTATTTTGGCCTTAGGGCTAGCTAAAGGACTCTTATAAAGTCCCCCTGCAGCAGTTGTACGAGTTTTCACCTTTGATTATTTCAATAAAAACAATGAATTGTATCAGAGACCAATCACATCTTTGTGGTGTACTTCAATCCGCCAGCATTTCCCCTCCAATCGATCCCACACAATTGAAGCGACCGTCATCGTATCAGATCTACATCAACGACCATCTTTCCTTCACAAGAGAGAAGCGACTGTCATCTTGTGAAGCCATCATCTATATCCTAGTACAAGCTCACCACCGAGTCTTGTATCATCTGGTATCAGAGTTGTTCACGCCCTTACTTTGCCAGGTTTATCTTTTCCATTTTCTTTCGATACTTTTAATTTTCTAGTTTTTGTTTTATTTTAAAAAAAAAAATAAGAACCCTAGTTTGCTGCAGCCTTGTACCGAAGCATTAATGTGGAAAATCCGCAAGATCAGGTGTATCAACGCAGATGGGATCTCAAGGTCAGCAGTTTCAGCCTAAGACTTTTCCACCAGGGCATGGAAATTTCAGCAACAAGGTGTTTGTACCTAAACCATAGGTCGCTGGTCAAAGTGGTTTTCAGCAGAAATCCCAGTTCAATAACTTCCAGGGAAGTTCCAAGCACCTGGAAACACTTCTTCAGGAGATACTGAGATGAAACAGATGATGCAACAGATTCTTTAAGGCCAAAAAAAGAATGCTGCTTATATCAATGTCAAGGTTGATAGCATGTACAATCACCTCCATGGAAAATTTGAGTCACTAGCCTCACATGTTAAGACACTTGAGAATCAAGTAGCCCAGGCACCAGTTGCTTCCACAAGGCTAATGGGAGTTCTTCCTGGTAAACCAGTAGCGAACCCAAAGGACTACAACGGAAGTAAGGAGTATGTACAAGCCATCTCGCTGAGGAGTTGTAAACAGCTCAATCCAGATTTGGAGAAGGAGAAGGCGATATCCATCTCTGATGACTTAGAAAAGGATATTGCTGGGGAGAAATCGGTTGCTAAACCACTGGTTGAAGAAGTAGAAGCTGAGAAGGAAGTTCCAAAGAAAGGAGAGACTGAAAACGCTGCATCACCCCCTTATGTGCCTAAGATGCCTTTCCCAGGTCGCTTGAAGAAGATTCAGAGAGAAAAAGAGTATGCTCGATTTGACGAGAATATGAAGAAGCTTCAAGTTAAGCTTCCATTTCTTAAGTTGGTTATGAATGGAACCTACAGGAAACAATTAAAATACATTCTGACTAACAAGAAGACTCTAGGAAACATAATTCGGTCATCGGTCAGGTGGACGAATCCTGGAATGTGTTGCCGGTTTGGATTGATCGATATGATGATGGATCTGCTAATCTTGCACTTCCTTGCCCGAAACTGGTCCAAAATGCGCCAATTTCGCTCAAACTACTTAGCTCCTGCTCAAGACTCAAAATACGACTCGAAAGACACGAAAGACGGAATAAAAGACGACAAACGACTCAAAATGGACATAAAAGAAAAGGGTGAAAGACTCTAAAAACATTGTATATCAACTCCCCCGACTTATATTCTTGCTTTCCCTCAAGCAAAACAAAAATCTTAACCAAGAAAACAGGTTTGAAAACGTGAGAACTCGCATATTATTTTGGGATCATGCTCTTAATCAATTGCCTGCAAACCACTATCAGAGAGTTTATATCAAACCGTTCAATAATGTACTTCACCATGACATCATGAGACCTCATTGACCTCACAAAACTCAAAGAGTGACATAGAAAAATGTTTCTTGTTTAAGAAGAATGTGAGTGTTCCCTCACTTGCTACGGGGTCTTGAGGACCATTGTAACGGAGACGACATGTTGCTAAGAACTCCTTCAGTAACTTGGGGTATGTGAAGTGTTCTAGTGCCCAAGGTTTCTCAAGGCCTATGGTTTGAAACAATGTCTCTGCATCTTCAAGTAAACCGAGGTGTCTCAACGCGTTTGGATAACCACATCGAGTGGGATGAATTACGACCGAGCTCGGAGCTGCCAAACACAGTATCAACGAAACCCATTTTTTTGTGATAGGCCTTCGATTCGGATCAACACTCGTGGTACTCTGACCTTGGCTTGTTCCAGCAGATTCCCTTGTTCGCCCCATCACCTACAAAACATGATATTTGGCATCATTAACCAAAGTTTACAAAATTGGCAAATCATGGTTTTTGAAGTGAAAGTAGAGATAGCAAGTCACAAAGAGACAAGATTTCAAGCTCTAAAATCCACATTCTCTTTCACTTCTTCCAAATTTCGTTTGTTTTCTAAACCATGAAAAATCTCAATCCCAAATTTCAATTAACCCAAAAATTAAGCACAATTGGGACATATGATAATGCAAGAATGAACTATTGTTACTTAGTCATAAGCATATCACAAGAATCTAGCCACAAAACCATCACAATCGAATTCCTCTTCCAATTGCATGTCATACCCGATTTTACATAATCGTCATAAAATCATGTTCCCAAATTTCCAATAATTTAGCCATTGAACACCATAATCAAGCTTCCTAACCTATTATAAACTAGAATCTAACAAAATTTCATCATTCAACACAAAGAAAGTCAAAATTTTGGAGTTTAGAGACAAACCATGTAAAAATTGGACTGTAAATAAGGAATTTAAAACACATACCTTTGCAGATCGACCAAAACACTACCACCAACAGAAAGAGGGTGAAAAAACAAGTGAATTAGAGCCAAAAATCGTCCAAATCCGTTAAGAATTAAGAGAGTTATGAGCAAATCAATTTTGTGTTTTTAGTGTTCTTCAAGAAGAAGATGAAAAACCAAAATCGATTTTTATGAAGTTGAATCTCTTGTTTGCTCGGTTTAGATCAGTTTGATTTTAGTAAACTTGATTCAATTTCGATTTTTGCTAAATTTTTGGGTTGAAAACGTACCTTGGACCGTTCAGTCCGCCGCAACGACCGATCGGTCGTTGTCTCTCTGCTTTGGCAGAACAAATTGGACCAATCAATCCACTAGGGAAGCCGATCGGTCGTTTCCTTCCTGGTTTGGCAGAACAAGATCGATCGATCGATCCACAAGAGGGACCGATCGATCCGCAAGAGGGACCGATCGATCTGCTTCTCCGTATTCAACATCGCGTTGATCGACCGACCAGTCTGACTAAACGACTGATCGATCGCCTACTCCCTGGTCTGGCAGAACCATATCGATCAATCGGTCCAAAAAAGGGACCGATCGATATCCTTCTCCTGCACATAGAAAATTAAAAAGCAGCATTAAGCAGTATGGATTTATCGGTCTATTGATGGATCGATCAATCTGTCACTCCTAACAGAGTGGAATCAATGTAAAAAGATGAAAAATTAAATTTGAAATATACAAGATACCTGGTGGGTTACCTCCTACAAAGCGCTTGTTTAAGGTCTTTAGCTTGACCGTAATGAGATCTTAAGCTTGATCGAGGTCTGTAAGAGGAACTGTAGTGATCTCTTCAGAATTGGACTCCGCGATATACAATTTCAGTCTTTGTCCATTTGCAGCAAATGGTTCACCGGCGTTACTCAAAAGCATCAAAGAACCATTATGCCTTACTTCCTTAATAACGAAAGGACCGGACAATCTTGAGCAAAGTTTTCCAGGGAATAGCTTAAACCTAAAGTTGAATAGGAGCACCTTATCACCTTCAGTGAAATTCTTCAAGATTATCTTCTTGTCATAAAGAGCTTTGGTTCTCTCTTTGTAGATGTCATAGCTCTCATAAGCATTCAAACGAATCTCATCTAACTCATTAAGTTGAATCAAACGTCGCTCTGCTGCAGGCTTAAGATTGAAGTTCATCAATTTTGTTGCCCACAGAGCTTTGTACTCCAACTTTACAGGTAAACGACAAGAATTTCCATAGATGAGGTTGAACGGTGTAGTTCAAAGGGGAGTTTTGAAGGCGGTTCTATATGCCCAAAGAGCATCATCGAGCTTTGAAGCCCAATGTTTTCTAGATTTACCCACAGTCTTCTCTAGAATCCCCTTAATCTCCCAGTTTGAAAGTTCCACTTGGCCACATGTTTGAGGATGATAAGGCGTGGCTACCTTGTGCTTTACACCATGCTTCACCAACAAGTTTTCAAAAACTTTATTACTGAAATGCTTTCCTCCATCACTAATCACCACTCTTGGAACCCCGAATCTTGGGAAGATGATCTTCTTAACCATCTTAAGCACCACAGTAGTATCATTCTTTGGACTGGCTATGGCTTCAACCCATTTAGAAACATAATCTACAACAACTAAGATATACTCATTCCCATAAGATGATGGAAAAGGACCCAAGAAATTAATTCCCACACGTCAAACACCTCCACTTCGAGAATGAAATTCTAAGGCTTTTTATTTCTCTTGCTTATATTACCCTTGCGCTGGCAAACATCACACCGTGCAACAAACCCATGAGCGTCACTAAACAAAGTAGGCCACCAACAAAAAGAGGGTGAAACAATTTAATTTTTCATCTTTTTACATTGATTCCACTCTGTTAGGAGTGATGGATTGATCGATCCAACAATAGACCTTAAACAAGCGCTTTGTGGGAGGTAACCCACCAGGTATCTTGTATATTTCAAATTTAATTTTTCATCTTCTTACATTGATTCCACTCTGTTAGGAGTGACGGACCGATCGATCCAACAATAGACCTTATCGTCGTAGAAAGTTATTCCCTTTGTGAGAGTGCACACAACAAACTCAAGAACTGCATGTTTGTCAAACGAGATCTCTAGGTTTACTCAATAGAATGCTGAAACTTTCTACGAGACTTGGGAGCTTTTCAAACATTATCAGTCTCAAGGCCATCCTCATGGCTTCACCATCAAGTCCCTCCTAAGCACTCTCTAGAGAGGTATTCTCCCAAGAATCAGGATGCTGCTTGACATTGCAAGCAATGGCAACTTCCACAACAATGACGTGGATGATGGCTTGGAATTCGTTGAGAATCTTGCACAATCATATGGGAACTACAATGAAGATTATGATAAAACCATTTGGGGCCGCATAGATCTAGATGAGAGGTACAAGAAGGAGATAAATGATGTGAATGATAAGCTGTACAAACTCTTGATGAGGCAACAACGAAATGCCCAATTCGTTTATGCTTTCCTAATTCCAGATGGGGAGGGCGGACAATCTAAGGAGATAATTTATACAAATCCACAAGATCTTGTTGCAAATCCACAATATCAAGTATACCCACCTCCACAACCGCATCAAGGGCAAAACAAAAATTGAATGCCTTACTACCAAGGTTATGTCCCCAAACAATAATTCTAGCAAGGTTATCCAGCTCCCACAAGACCACCACCAAAATTTCAGTCCCACGAAGCTCAACCTACTTGAACACCAAGTCATGATATGAAGATCATGTATCACCAACTCTTACAAGGGCAAATTAGTGTCTATGGAGTCAGCTAAGAAGTTGCAAAGATGAATAATAAGATAGAATGTACATACAATGCCCTTCATCTCAAGACTGAAGGTTTGACCTCTAGAATGCTTCACCTAGAAAGCAAGAAAGCATTTATTTCTTCAGGACAACTCCTAGGGAAAGCAGTTCTGCCTCGAAGGGAAGTTTACATATCACGGATACCAACCAAATCATCCTACGTGATAATCGATGGTGGATATGTTCTGAATTGGCTAGCTTCAGCAATTTTCTTGGTTTGCTTTGGCGAATACATAGATAGAGAAATGATATGTCGCTTGAAAACGTAAGGCCACGGAGGAATAATGACGTGAAAAGTATTTGAAAGAGTGGCAAAGAACTTAATCCGAACAGGGAAACAAAACTAAAGAAAAATTTAAGTAACAAATTAGTTGAAGGATTTCGCCGACATGGAAATGAAGAGTAAAAATGGAGCAGAGTCAACAAAAATAAAAACAAGAGGAAATGAAAATGAATAAGAAGGAGCATTCTACCTTTGTAGGATCTCATTTTCCGTGTGCAATGATGACCCTCTATATTTTTATACGCATAACTTAAAGACGTTAAGGCGGAATAAGTTGGGCATAAAAAAGTCGAAAAGACAACCCTAAATCGAGGAGTATCAGTCACGAACATTCAAGGGTCTTAGTTTCCCAAAGGACAACCAAATCATATTTAAGTCTTGTGAACTAAATTACTTCGCAAAAACTTCTACGGCCAAAACCTCGGTATCAGATCTAACACTTCAGCCCCGGCCCATTATGACGGGTCAAAGGCCTTATGAATTAAGGCCCATATGTTTGTAAGCCCAACAAAGTGTTACGCCAACTGGTGTATGGCGATCTCGGACCCTTAATGAGAAGTTAAGAAAAATTAATGAAACAGACGAAACAATTGTCAGATGAAGTAATCAATAAACGCGAATGTTAGACCTGGAGGTCGCACTAGTCTAATGTGCATGATAGTTTTTCGATATAAATAAGGAAAAAAGCAAATTGTAGAGGGGAACTTGATTCAACCAAGATTATAACAATATATTTGTTTACAATTCAGTTTGCATTCTCCTTAAGAGTTAGTTTTATAACGGCAAATAAGTACCCCGCCTAATTCCTCCTTAAGTTAACCGGAAAGTGCGGATTCCGACTTCCGCACCAGTGTTTTGAGAGGGTAAGAAGAAGACAAATAAATTGTTAAAGAGAAGAAGAAGGAGTACTTTAGAGAGATCCATGGGAAGGAAAGAGACCGAGTGAAGCTTGATCAGGAATGAGGAGTTAACCGGCTTCATCGGATTGACCATGAAGAGATGTTCGGAGATGGTCAAATCAGATTATACGAATGTATATAGTACTTATTAATTACGTTTAACTACGTTTGTATGATGGTTTATTTGCTGGGTAAAATGGTTAATTTATGTTGTTAGCTTGATTTGAACTGCGTTTGTGAAAGTTTTAAGATCAACTCTTATGGTTTGTTATAAACATAATGTAGTCTTTTGGTGAACCATTAGTTGTATGTTTTAGTTGGTAATGTGAGTTTCTAACTTAAGTTAATTAAATTATCATATTTTATGAATGTGTAATATTATTAAATGACATAACTTTTTTTTAGATGTACATATTTCAATTTCATTAGTATGAAGAGGTTGTAATAAGATCAGAGAATTTAATTAACCAGCCTAATTAATTGGTTCTACTCGACAAAAAGTTAAAAAGAAACAAACACACACACGAGAAGAATCACCTAATTATGTCAACTTGCAAAGAAATTAATGATACGTACGAATATTTGGTTAATCCCCAAAACACTATTATATGGTTGACATCTCATAATACCATATTAATTAACTACTTCACTATTTAATCGACGACCGCTTAATTAGTATGTAGACATTTTCTTAATTGGAATTAATTATAAATTTATAATATACTTCTAAAATCTTAACATGGTTAACATAAGTTAACTAAACTGTAGTCTGTAGTTATATCGTACTATACTAAGCTTTTACTTTTTCTTAATTGTGATATTTAGGCGGTCATCGACTGATCGACATTTTGGTTCTGGCCAATTCCAAATAAAAAGTATAAAACTTATGCCGCCGAACTTTATCTAGATTTTTAACTTGGTTAACTTAAGATTTAAACTTTGTTAACATAATATATATATTTAATAACTACCGTATAACCTCTATAAATTAATACTCGCTAAATTAATATTCTCTATAAATTAATAAATTTCTCCGGTTCCAAGTTGGGACCAGTGTAATTTTATACATATTTCGATAAAATAATAAGATAATAACATTTTTGAAAATCTTTTGTAAATATATAGTCCCGTCAATATTATAAATTAATAATTAGGTAAAATTTTCAAAATATATCTATATATAGACACATTAGTTTTTATTAGAGTTTATTTTTTTAATTTTTTTTGAAAAACTTTCCAAATTAGGAAAATCTTTCTATAAATTAAGAATTATTAATTTATTGATAAATTAAAAACTCTATAAATTAATAGATTTTCATGGTCCCAACATTATTAATTTATAGAGGTTTTACTGTATAAGGTTATCGCCTAAAGTCCATACATTTTTTTATGTCCGAAACCAGAATATGTTATATATAGTTTTGTCTCAAACACTACTTTAACCGGTGATCTCTAAACTTTTACCAAAGATCTTTAGTCTAAATTATATTATGGTAACCAAGTTTAAAATATATAACTATTTAAACAGCACATAAATGTATCATTTTTGTCTTTTTTTAGAAACTTATCTGTGACAAGTTAAAAACAAAAAATTGTTCAAAATGTGTTTAATAGCGTAAGTGCGTAACTATAGAGAGACTTGGTAGCCAACTTTACTTAGTGTATGTGGAGACCCATGGAGAGATCATTAATATGATGTGTATGATTAAAGAGAAGTTTGAACATTTTAACCCGTTGATAACTTTTCAAGTATGCGAGTTGTATTTAGTGAGTTCCGAACTTAACCAATCTCGTATATAACAAAATTAAGTTATTAAATTGTTAGCATAACTTGGTTAAAAGAGACTTCAACATTACGGTCTTGAAGACATGCCAAATGTAAGAATCAAAAAATAAAATCCAAATCTTTTTCGGCGGTTTTGGATATTGTCAAAGGAAAATAGCAACAAATAATTGGTCTAAACCAGTTCAGCTGCATGAACTTTTAATCGTCATATGCAAAAACACATGAAATACAAATAATGTCATACCAAAAGAAACAAAAAGTTACCAAATAATGGAAATTTTGCAATTTGAAATCGTCTAATAAAATGACATTATATAGTCACGTAAACAGGATAAGGAGAAATGAATTATATTTTGCATGCAAATGGTGACGATTAAGACCTATTCGAGTGCCTAACCGATCGATTATATACTGTATGGGTAATAAAACTAAGGTAATTCATAACCTGAAAATACCAACCAGTGTAGGTCTTTGGACAGTGAACTTGAAGTAAAGCCACCTCTGAAGAAAGAACTAGGTTTGGCAATAGAACAAGTGGCAGATAGGCAATCTAGTGATGCTCTAAAAGCTTCTATAAATATCCACAGCCTCACTATATTTGAATTCACCATTGCCATTCAGTTTTCTCTCTTTTGTGAGCGAAAAATGTCTCCACAAGGTTCAACCAGAACCTTAGCTCTTTCTTTTGTACTGATAAGCATTCTCTTCCTTGGCCAAACCGAAGCCCATATTTGGTACTGCCCACCTCCACCACGACCAGTGTGCCCACCGCCACCTAGATGTCCACCAATACCGAAGTGTCCCCCGATAACGGTGTGTCCACCACCATTTCCGCCTCCACCAACAACATCACCACCGCCTCCACCACCCGTGACTCCATACACTCCACCACCTCCGGTGACTCCACCACCAGAGACTCCCCCACCAAAAACTACACCACCTCCTCCCCCAAAAACTCAAACTCCACCATCCGAAACTCCACCTCAGGAGACTCCACCACCATTAACTCCACCATCACCAACTCCACCTCCACGGAATCCACCAACATACTCTCCACCACCTGAAACCCCACCTCCAGATACTGTACCACCCGTAACTCCACCATCACCTGTTATTGTAGACCCCGGGGTTCAGCCACCCGTGCTTCCGCCTTCGACAAATCCACCTCCAAAGACTCCACCTCAAAAGTCTCCACCACCTGAAACTCCACCTCCTGAGACTCCACCACCGGTAACTCCACCTCCCAAGACACCACCTCCAGAGATTTCACCACCCGAGACTCCACCTCAAAAGTCTCCACCACCCGAAACTCCACCTCATAAGTCTCCACCACCCGAAACTCCACCTCCTGAGACTCCACCACCGGTGACTCCACCTCCAAAGACACCACCTCCAGAGACTCCACCACCCGAGACTCCACCTCAAAAGTCTCCACCAGTACCCAAAACTCCACCACCTGAGACTCCACCACCAGTAACTCCACCTCCCAAGACACCACCTCCAGAGAGTCCACCACCCGAGACTCCACCTCAGAAGTCTCCACCACCCAAAACTCCACCCCCTGAGGACTCCACCACCAGTAACTCCACCTCCCAAGACACCACCTCCGGAGAGTCCACCACCCGAGACTCCACCTCAAAAGTCTCCACCACCCAAAACTCCACCACCTGAGACTCCACCACCAGTGACTCCACCTCCCAAAACACCACCACCATACACTTCGCCACCCGTTAGTCCACCACCATACACTCCACCTCCGACGATTCCACCACCAGAGACTCCTCCACCCAAAACAACACCACCTCCTCCCCCAAAAATCAAATCACCAACACCACCACCCCAAACTCCACCACCTCCTCCATACACCTACCCACCACCTCCTCCACTTCCCAAATGTCCAAGAAATGCCGCCCAAGTAAGGCAATGTTCCAATGTCCTAAGAATTTCTGGCAACTTCCTAGACTTCAGAAGGGCACAACCATGTTGTTCTCTTATCCGCAATCTATCTGATGCTGATGCAGCTAGTTGTTTATGTGATTTGGTAAGAGCACGACGTTCAACTCTTTCTCCCAATATAATTATCCTATGTAAGGCTTGTGGCCGCAGGATTCCTAGAGGCTTTACCTGCCCATAATACCTTGATATACTAAAATGTACTCACAACTTAGTCGACAAATAAATCTACAAATAAAGGTTAATAAATTTTATACTTTCTACCTATGATAATGTAATAGAATTACATCAATAAAGTTCATTTCACGTTTACATTAGGTCTTTATTATTTTATTTAATCACATTAAAGTAAGAGGAGAACATAATCATCGTAAAGTTTTGTAATATATAATCATTATCCATTTTGTTTTGGAATTGTATCTACATTTTTCTAATTTGTATATGTTTTATGATCATTTGAATATCCGTTTAATATATGTACAGAATACTTAGCTATATAAAACCTATTACATATATAGAAAACAATATTTACTATTTTTTAATATTTTAATAAATTATATGAATTTGATGAAAACAACTATCTACTTGGGGTTTTATAGCAAAAAGAAATAATCTGAAAGCAAAACCAGAAATAAAACAATTGAAATATCAATGAATGAAGTGTTGGGCAACAGAGAATTCTCGAGGTATCATATTTTGCTCGACATTGGGGTTTTAACTTTTAATCATCTTCCACATGGTTTCTGGCTAGATTTGCAGCTGTAGGATCCTCGTTAGTTAGACCATGTTCGTTTCTCCACCCATATGGATCATCTTGATGAATCATCCAGATGATGTTTGTTTAACTCCAAAAATAAATATCATCCAAAATCATTCAGATGATCTATCTAGATGAATTTTAAAATTTTAGGCAAAATTTTGAAAATTATTTGGATGACTTTGATTGGATCATCAGGATGGAGATGGTTCATTCAAAAATGACAAAGATACCCTTATTATCCAAATAACCTATTTGTCCACAAAAATTATAAAAGATATTTTTGCAAATATTTCATATATAATTTGTTAAAAAAAACTAAAATAAATATTTCCGCCAAAAACAAAAAAATAACATTTTCTCGCCGAAATAGCAAAATCGTGTTTTCCGCCAAAAGCGTAAAATCACATTTTCTTGCCAAAAACGCAAAATTAACATTTTTATGCCAAAAACGCAAAAATAACATTTTCCCGCCACAACCGCAAACTCATATTTTAAATCTTATAAAACTTATATTTCATGAAATAAAAAAATTAAATGTCAAAAATATATTAATATTTTTGCTGTTTATTCTTTTAATCATTAATTAAAATTACTATGATTAATATTAATGTGAAAATTATATCAAAACATGGGTATTTTAGTAATTTTAAAAATCAAACCCACCTAAATGAAGATGCAAAATGGAGAAACAAACACATCTTCATCCAAATAATTATCTAGATGAATATTTTTATTTCTTATTCGTTTAGTCATTTAGCATCCAGATAATACATTTGAATGGATCATCTCGATGGAGATGGAAAATGGAGTAACTAACAGGGCTTTAATATAATATTATGTGACCTCCAAAGAATTCAAAGAGCGAGCAAGAACATGCATTCCTTAACTTGGACGTCGCCCCTGCAACCAAAGAGTCCAAACGAGTGGAAATAATATATAGTATGATTTTGTTAAGGTTACGGAGGATGCTTTTATGATGTCCATGTCTTGTTCCAAGCCTCCAAGGTCTATACGTGCCACGGTGCCAGATACATTGTTTGTAAAACATTTCCATATTTAGTTTATTTTATATAAGAATATGATTTTAAATGTTTAGATTAACATATAAAAAATGGGTAAATAAATTTTCAAAAGTTATCTATGTTTGTTTGTTCTACTTTCTCTATCAATTGAGACTAGATAGATCATTATTTTGAAAAGGTTTTTATTTTGGATTAAAACTTACATTAAGAAGGAATGAAAGAAAACATATATTATAAGACAAACTGTTCTTCATAAACGTTTCAAGAACATTTTATTTTCATAAAAACATTGGTTGCCACATATATTGAAACAACAACTGTTATATTATATAGAGCTGACAAAGTCAACGATTTCAACCACATCATGAAGCAGCGAGTTGGAGTTGACCACCCTACAATTCTGTCTTATCTGTCCTTGAGTTCCAGTGAGAGGTGTAATGTTTCCCATCCTATTCATGGCTTCCACAAAAGCATTAAAGAACTTTTGAGTACCATCAGCATATGCTCTCACCAATGGGACAGTGTCAGTGGCATTAGGGCTAGAAAACAATTCTTGATCGGTCTGGATAAGTCCCTTTAGCTCTTTCAGATTCACATAGTATTTGTTGTCAAAAACCGTCGGTGTACGTAAATCGAAATCGACCAAGACCGTCTGGTTACCATTACGGGGACATTGTCCACGAAGTGTCTGGAGGTAAGTTGTATTGAGAGTAGGGTCGGGTAAACCAGTGTTGCTAAAGTTGTATAGCCTATCCATAATAAATTGGCATTGGTTTTTACCAAATGTGTGACCACCTAACCAAAAGAAGAGATAAATTAACAATAAAGTTTATGAACTTGTTAGATGGAATTGAAATATATATGAGAATTACCAGAGAGTGCAACAAGATCCGAAGGACGGTCAAGTCCAACATTACTAAAGCTAGCCTTGAGTTGTGGAAGCGTGAAGAATGGTGCGGGAAGATTTGCATTAGCGAGATCAAAAAATGCTTGTAAGCTGTCTCTTCTCCCTAAAGGAACCCTCCACGAAGGACCTCCTGCCTAAAATACCGATATTTAAAACATAATAATCAGTTTACGAAAATAATTCTTACCACACAAAAGTGTTACGATTCAAAAGACAAAAGACAAGTTATACATCACAAAAATTCAACAAATTGGTTCTCAACTTTATGACTATTTTTTTCAGTTTGTTTGGAAATTTTTCTTATATTATTTCCAGTAACCAAAAACACTAGTCTTAACGAATCGAGTTTACTATTGGAATAAGACTAGAATTTTAAAACATTTCCCTAATGAATATTGAAGTCTTTCTAGTACCGCGTAGTATGCCATAATATCAAATCTAGCTAGATTGTACAACTTGCGAGTTGCAGCATTTGGTGCGTCCAAATTATACTAGTAAAAAGAATACTCTATAGCTAACCACTTGACAGTCGCGAAATTTCGTTGCTATAGGTGATTTGTTTAAAAAAACCACGAATTAGTTAAGCTACGATGCTATAGCCACGAATATTAAGGCACGGTCACGAATATTCAAGTGGCTATAGGAATTTTGTTTACTAGTTAAATTCTTGTTTCAAATTCATCAAGAATATCCATTTTTTTTATGAGTTTTTTTTTTTTTCTTTTTTTTTGAATAATCAAAGAGGTTCTGGACCGAAACCCATACATCCCCTCAGACCCGAAACCAAAGCATATTATATGGTTTCGTCCCAAGCAATACTCGAACCGGCGACCTCTAAGCTTTTGCCAGAGATCTTTACCAATTGATATATTAGCACTTGGTTATGAGTTTTATTTTGCATCGAGCTACTCCATATTTTTTTAAAAATTGAAACAAACCAACAAGAACTACTCCTTATGTTGGACACAATATTTCTTATAAATGAAAAAAAGGGAGAGAGAAAATGCATACCAAATTTACTGATTGTTGAGCTGCGATGGTAAGCATATCTGCGCATGATACAGTCCTTGGACATGCTGCCTCAATTGCTGCTTTCATCCTATCAATCACTGGAAATCCTCGAGCCGAGTTTGCGTTTGGAGCTGCCTCTTTCTCTGTTCGAAAGGATGTTGTATTGTCTAACAAAATCGATGCATCGCATCCCTTTGCAAACGAATATAAGTTTTATCACTCGTTAGTCAATACATTGAAATCATAATCAGTTTATATGTTTGTACTTAGTTTACAAATAATTTACTAGCTATAAAAGAGTGTAAGATTTCATTTTCATTCACTAAAAGTATTTGTTCTTCTAATCCACTATAATATACATAGTTTATACATACAAGTTAGCTATTATTGATTTTAGTTTACATTCTATATTAGGTTAACAAATACATCTGATTCAAAAGCTAAAAATTTCCAGGAAATAAAAAATTAAATGATAGATAAGGTTTTCACGTACATTTCTATTTATATTTCCAAATATTATGTGGGGTGTTCAGTGTTGATGATAAACTTGAGACTTTTGAATGATTTCTGTGACATTTTTTTATCCTTCAGTTAATGATTTTTTAATATATTAATAACGTATTTGGTACGACCGTACGAGAGTCCACATGCTTTTCTTAAATTAATTTATAAATAGTTCACGTTCATTGAATAATGCATGGGTGAACAAATCTTACTACAATGTTGTCGAATTACTTTTTTATAGTCATCCTTGACGACAAGAACTAAGATACTAGACCATAAAAACCAAAAATATCACATCTAACTTCGTTGAAATTTTATATTGACATTTTTGTAAACCAGATCTTAGCCCAGTGACCTAATTCTCTATATTGTTGGCGTAATTATAAGAAATATAATACGTATATATATATATATATATATATATATACTTATAAAGTGAAAAAATAATATCTTACATTAACAAAGCAGTCATGGAAGTGAAGACGAAGGATGCTTGCAGCGATACGAGGATCTGATCTTAGCTCGTTTACGATGGTGTCCCGTACGATGGTAAAGACGCTAGGGCATGTACTGTCGTAGAAGGTAGTGTTGAGTTGAGCATCGGACGTAGATGATTGAAATATAAGACAACCCAATGTTATTAGGGTTGTCCAAGCCGACAAGGAAGAATAAGAGAAATGCATTTTTGGTAAGAAGATTAACCTATTTGATTGGTTTAAGTTGAGATGATGAGGAACCTTCATATCTTAAGGATCCTTTTATAGGCGAAATGTGTACTCTTTTTATTTTATTTTTAAGAACAGCTTTTTCACATACTCATATTTAATTATTTATGTCAAATTTCTTTAACAAAAATAATATATTTAATAATTTATGTTTACACTGATACATCCTTAGGAAGTAAAGGATGACTAATCAATCTTTTGGTTGTCGTAGATAATAAAAAAAATGTCATAATGTATAGTAAAAAATTTCATCATGCTCTCATTCATGTGCATCGATTAATTAGTGTTTAATTTCTACATAGAAAAAAAATATTTATTATATTTATAAATGTAATGAGATAACATAATGTAGCAATATATTTAAATTCATAATGATTTGGAAA